TAATGTGTGCGTTCAAGGACTTTAAAATCTAACTCGTACTTACTCTTTACTCCCCCATCCCAACTCGACCATTTCCAAGAAGGATTCAATGTGGTTTTAATCTAATATAAAGGATTAAATTGGTAGGTAAATAACTAGAGGGGTGCTAAGAGTGAAAAAAGTGCTAAAGGAATAAAATGCCAACCATTTCACAGTGCATTTTGTGTATTTTTTAAGGACATTGCTGGTTTTCTGCAGGAAAATAGCAAGAGATTAGAGTGGAATGATGGGTTGGGGCAACATAGTGGAATGTCTTGAATGTTAGAAGAGTTTGACTGACTAGAGAGGCTGGTGGGAAGCAGAGGGCTGATCAGAGCTGGGTTTTAAGAATGTTAATCTGGCTGCTCTATGGACCTGGAGAAGGAGCTAACTGGGGGCAAGGAGTAGTAAGGAGCCTATTACAGATGTATAGATAAGAAGTAATGAGAACTTGCTTAGATGGTGGCAAAAGACAGAGTGGGGAAAAGGTACTGTGGAGTAGGTAAAAACTCGTGCCTTAGTGATGAAAGCTAATTGGATGAAGGGGAGAAGTCAAAGGTAACTGTAATGGGCTTTTTTTTTTTTTCTTCTTCTTCCTTTTTTAGCTGAGCCATCCTGCCACCTGTTGGCAGCTCAGCAGCAGCTCAGCTCGGGTTGGGACTTGAACCTCTGTTGCTCAGAGCTCATACTCTTGAGTGAGCTCTTAACCAACTGAGCTACTCGGCTGGCCCCTATAATGGGCTTTGACATGAACACAAACAGGAAATGAGTGGTTTGGGGGAGGAAAATGATGAATATTACCTTGGATATTGTATTATCTAGTGCTCTGTAACAAAGTATCATAAAATTTAGCAATTTAAAACAACAAAGAGCTCACACAGTTTCTGAGAATCAGGAATCCAGGAGCAGCTTAGCTAGATGGCTCCAGCTTAGATTTTCTCATGAGGTTGCAGTCAAGATAATTGGCTAGGGCTATAGTCATCTGAAAGCTTGACTGGGGCTGGAGAATCTGCTTCCAAAATATCCCACTCTCATAGCTGTTGGCTGGAGGCTGTAGTTCCTTGCTGGCTATTAACAGGGGGTCTTCATAGAGTTGCTTAAGTGTCCTCACAATATGGCAGTTACTTTTCTTTAGAGTGAATGATCACAGAGAGCAAGCCAGGAAGAGGTTGCAATGCCTTTTATGACCTAGTCTTGAAAGTTACATACCATTCCTTCTGCCATAATGTATTCATTAGAAATGAGTCACTAAATTTAGCCCATGCTCAAGGGGGAGGTTAGACTCCACCATTTGAAGGGAGAACTGTTGAAGAATTGGCAGGCTATTTTCAAACCACCATAGATATATTGTGTTTTGAGGACAAATGGAGTGAGAATTCAGATGAAAATGTCAGGAGGAAGGTAATTCAGAACTTTAGATAGCTAAGTTGCCTACATATGGAAGTAGGTGATAGCTGGAGCTGAAAATATTAAAGATGGAGAACTTCTCAAGGCAAGTTTCTTTACTTAATGACTCTCAAGGATTCTCATTATTTTTTATTTTTTAAAGATTGTTTTTATTGGGGAATTGGGGAATGGGAACAGCGCTGGGGAATTGGGGAAGGGGAACAGACAAGCTGCTGTCCTTTTGTTCTTCAGTCTAGTTGTGGAGGATAATGCTTCACTGCCCAAGTTGGCACCATCATTGTGCTCTTCCTGGGTGAGCCAGATCAGTCGCTGGCTTCTGGACGGCCACTCACGGCAGCTGCTGGCGCTTACACTGGCTGCTGGCTACACACAGTAGCCCATGGCCACCCACTGTAGCAGGGGCTGCAGCCTCTGCCGTCGCCGGCGACTCACGGCAGCCCAGCTCCAGGTTGAGCTGTTGTTCAGCATCTTAGCTGTAGAGGGCAGAGTCACTGGCCCTCATATGTGG